CGTGTGGATGTATGGGGGAGGGGGGGTGGGAGGAGGGTAAACCGGTGTGTTGCGGTCCTAACAGGATCACATAACGCGGTGCAACAACGACAACAGCTACTATAGTGGGTGACGGAGCTCGGTGGGCTTCGTGCAGGTGACCATGTGTTCCTGTGTGCGTGCGTGCCAGTAATGACCGTAAACTTCATCGCACTTCACTACACACACACACACACACACACACACAAACACAAACACAAAAAGCGGTAGTGATAACTGCACCAATACATTCGTGCCCGAACTGTCCTCGCGTCCGGTTGACGGCTAGTTTATGGTCCAACACAACACAAACTTTCCTCCGGGTAAAAAGACAAACTAGCTCAAGTGAACGAGTCACTTGTCGTCGAATGTGAACTTCTGACCACATGGACAAAGTTTCCGATATTAAACTAACAGATATTCGAAGGATGGAAGGAAGTACACGGGAAGTTAAATGTTTGCTTTACTTTAAAACTATCTCAGTTCTCTACTTAGTTCTGACAAAGTGAAAAGGTGGAGTGTAATATTCATTGAATGGGATCTACAAACATTTGATCTTGGATCCGGGCGCTAGGAGACCGGGTGGAGTTCGCAAAACGTTTCAGTAACCATCTCCGGTACATTTGTACACAGTGAAGCAACTGTTACTCTAGGTGTATCAGGTCGATGGGTAGATGCGTTTGCTTCCTGATTGTAAAGTCCTGAGATCAGTCCTCATCTCTGACTATATGGATGCCCATTTTCGAACGTAATTGAGACAGCTTTAGCATATGCTACCCAGCTTTGTCGTTCACAATAATTAGGTGTCTATCCTTCCTGTTCACTTCCTTTGCTTGAGTACATAATGTTACAATCAATCAATTAACAGAAACGAGGAACGGACATTCAATGGATACGAAGAGGTTAGAGGAAGTTGCCTGGTGATGGTGGTGGCGGCGGCGGCGGTGGTGGTGGGACTCGAACATGACCTCCTGGTCGATCTACCGGTGACTGATCTATTACATTGGTAATAGAATGTGTACAATAAATTATCCATACACAAACTTACCATGCATGACCCACGTGTGCGAGCATTCTGAACACTGTCGCAGATTATTTGTAGACGGCTGGTAATGATGACACTGGCATCCAGTGGACAAGCACCCAACCGCGATTGCTTCAGTCTAGAACCAAAGGAGAAAACATTAATTAGCCGTAATAATAATAATAATGAAAATAATTATGGAGAAGTGACAATACACATAAAATAGCCTTGTGAAAAAAATGGCGATGCTACTCGGCAACTAAAGTGGTCTCGGTGCGTTTTGTCCAGTATGTTCTCTATAGATTTCCTGCAGGGAACGTATCCTTGCTTTTCCTCTTACGTAAACTTGTTCTTTATTCGGCCCGAATCCCGAATCGGACTTGTTCCTCCGGTCCCGGATTCGCATCTCACTCGCATGCATTCTCCGCCTTTTCTTTGTCCACATTCGGATAAATGCTGGAACCCATTTCAGTCGACTCCTAATTCTACTCGTCCATTCTCGCATCACGTGATACACAGTACAGCACATAAGTTATTCTCTGAAAAGAGAGAGAAAGTACAGTCACCGGTCTATTAACACCACATTAACCCGTTCCCCCTACCCCTCCTCTTTCCCCAAACCTACAGGTATTGACCAAACTTGTGCAACATCCTGATTTCCATTTGTTCCTTTCAATGCTTCGCTTTTCAAGCCTCGTTCACGGGATTGAATATGATATTGCCCCACATTAGACGGAACATATCTGATATAATACCCACTTATGCCACTGCTTCTGTTGCCACATGCCATTAAAATGTACACTTTCGCGATTTCGACAACGATTGCTGGTGCATCAGTTATAAGATAACAATGTCACAGTAAAAAAAACGTAACTGTAATTTATTTATTAAAATGACTCATCGACTTTATACAAGTATTGTACTTTCATCTAGTCCATGTTCCATTTGCCCTTCGTCATTTTCGAGCACTAGAGGCAGTCGCTTTAGCATGGAATCCACCAAGTTGACTGCCAAGTTTTCTTTAAAACACAGCACACCTTACCACTGGCGACCAATGGCAAAGTAGCTAACTTATCCCTGTTTCTGATAGAGGGAAAAGTTTTCTATTAAATTAAAATCTCAGCTGCTGCGCGGTAATAGAACGAATTTGACATCAAACTTGACTCCTCTAGAAACTGCATAAATGTGAAAAATAATATTTATTTAGGTCTAACCATTTACACGCCTCTCGTTCAAGTTGCTTCTCGGCTTTAATTATATGCCAAAACCTTTTGAATGCTTCATCCGGTTTGGGCACGGTGACACTACAGTACGCTTATTCAATGAGCCGCACACCTCAAGGTCAACTTTCGAAGATCAACTGGTGTGTTTCTTGGACTATGTTTTCAGTTCTTTCAATATTGTAGATAATGTGTGAGTAGTTTGTAGCCTATTAATTTATCAATTTATGTAATCTAGAATATTTTCAATAATTTGTTTATTTACTGTGCACTGAATGGAAAGAGATTAGAAATTTAGAATACGTGTGCTCAACTTAATAGAAACTCTTGTGGGACAGGAATCATCTATTAAAAAGAATGAACTCCGATGCTGCTTTACCTCAAATATTTTCCAAATTAGAGCTGTAACTTTCGAACTACTATAAGTCTTATAGCGACACTCAAGGTCGTGCCCATTCAAATGGCGACAGAAACGAAATAAGAACATAGATTTTGGAGATAAAGTCAGAAATAAATACACTTAACTCAGCCATCGATATATATAACTATGATATTGCAAGCTGAAAGGAATTTCCAAAATGAGGGTGATGTTGCACACACACACACACACGGAATGTGATTGATCAAATTGTGGTTTCACCAGGTAGAACCAGGGAAGGATGAGGATACTGTGGCATGGTGATCCACACTATACATCAGACTATAATGGTACTAACACATACACACACACATGCCCACAGATGTTGATGAAGCTCATTTGGTGACCGTTGTAGCCAACTACCGCTATTACCCTTCGCCAACCAACAAACCAACTGACCATTGTCTTGACAACGGCTCGCTTACTCAGACAGCTACTCCATCGGAAGCTGCTGGAACAAACAGACCGCGAACGTGTGCATGCCTGTAAAGCCCGAGATGGACAGAGAAGATCTTGTTATTGGTCGTGATTACAATGTACACTGACCAGTGGATAACTGGGTTGAATGATAGTATAATGTTAGTCTGTGGTATGTATTTATTCGATCACACANGTCGTGCGTGCGTTCATCAACAGTATGGACAACTGGACTACGAAGAGCTATGTTATTTGTCTGTATCCAGCAAGAATTTCGACACAAACGGCTGCACAGCAGTGAAACTTTCCCAATTCCGTTGTGCATACGTGTGCGTGTGTGCATAAGTACACCTGGGGGAAAAACTTGTCATGAAAGCTCGGTCAGACACTGTGCTCAACACACTTACTGTGAGTTAGGTGAGACATCATCTGGAGCTGGCTAGATCAAACTGTTTCAGCTCGGTTCGCTTAGTGTGCTGAACGACTCGATGTGTGTGCGTGTGTGTGTGTGTGTGTGTGTGTGTGTGTGTGTGTGTACCTCAGTGATAGGGCGGAAATTTATAATTGATTGGAAGCCAACAGTGAACGCTGGAAAACGGATTGGTTCATCCTAGGACTTATCAGGTGCGTGTGCTATATTTACGTCTCTCCCGGGACTTAAACCGTGGACCTTCGGATTGGGATAATCAGGCAACACAATGGTCAGATTAAATGATCAGTTTTGCTTGTATTGTCAATCCTAATTAAAAAGTACCCAGGTCAGTGTTTCGTGTGCTATGTGCTTTTCACTCCGCGGGAGTTCGCCGGGTTCCCATATGGTATTTTTATCAATCAAGATTTAGTGTTTAAGCTTTCAAACCGCAGTCCCGGAAGGGATGTGAACACACACACAGTAGACAATGGATTAGTCTCCTCCTCACCATCAGGACTTCGAACCTCAATGCTATTTATGAAAACATAAGACGCGACTGTTTTTTATGCAGGCACATATTGGAAAAATAGGACACCACAGAATGAGATACGGAGGCCCAGATATACCCGAGACAAATCCATAACGACATTGTTTAACTTATGCCATAATGAGGATGCGAATCGAAACACACGGTCCATGAATTAGGATATACACACATGAATGAATACAGACGGGACAGGATTCATCAATCATATTTTTTTGAATAAAAAAGAAACCCGAACTAACAACCATTAAAAAGCTCTTGAGGTTTATAGCATTCGGGCTTGAAACATTAAAGTCCTGCACGCTTTACAGGCTTGAAACGAAAATGTAGGCTGACGGGTTGGTAGTCTATAATAGATGGTTATATATATATATATTTCATGAATCAGCGGTGCCAAAGATGTATTCACCAGATGGGAGAATCCCCACAATCTCTAGCTCGTTCTAAAAACGTACATGAGAACAAGAACACGAAATATCTGGGCCAACTACTAATACCTATAGAGATTTCACGCGTGATCTGGTTTATCCATCAGCTATGCTTGGGTAAGTGTGGCACTGTCTCCGAGGCTGTCGTTTGTCCATAGTCCACTCTGTCCTCATTCGATTTGCACTCAACCAACCCCAACCCACCCCACCCACCCACCCTACCCAGTGTGTACTCGCG